ACATCCCATGATGGAGACACAATTGGTGGAATTTTAAATATAAAATTTTGTGTCTTCTTCCTCATGCAGACATGATTGAAATATTGAATAAATATGCAGCCATTAAAAAAACCAATTTCTTGCCAGGCGCAGTGGCCTCACACCTGTAATCCCATGCACTTTGGGAGCCTTTAGCGCCGGGTTGCAGATCACCGCTGCGTTTGGGAATTCGAGACCAGCCTGACCATATGGGCCGTAAACCCCCAGCCTCTACTAAAAATATAAAAATTAGTCTGCTGCGCCATGTTGATGTGTGCCTGTTAATTCCATTACTCGGGAGGCTGAGGCAGGAGAATTGCCTTTGAACCTGGTGAGCAGTAGGCTGCAGTTTGAGCGAGCATTGTGCCACTGCCAGCTCCACTCCCTGTGGTGACAGATGAGTATACGACTCCATCTCAAAAAAAATAAAAAATAAAAATAATCATTTCTTAACAGAGAACATGCTTGAAAACTTCAAGACAACCTGCCCCCCTTCAATGAAAAGACAGAAAATTCTATATACAGTAAGATCCAAATTATTTTAAAAAGATATAAATTTCAAATGCTTACCTCCGTACACATATATGGACTTATTTCTTATTATATCTGTTAAAATAGCAATGAACGTAATCTTGATTTGCACTACTATGGATAATCTCTAGGATTACATTGAAAATTTAGTGGTATAGTGAATAAAGGAGAGGCATGTTACGAAACCTGTAAAATATCCTATGATAATGGATGATTGGCTAATGAATCGTCCCGCCCACCCAAATACTCACCTTGAAATTGTAACGCCCTCCCAGAATTCGACATGTCAGAATGGAGGAGAGGATGGTATAGAATAGAAAAAAGGGTAAATATAGATCATAGGGCAGGTCTTCCACGGTGCTAGTATCTGAAGTGATAGTGAATCAATAGAGATCTCAAACGAGAACCTTTTTCTGTTTTTTTATTGTGTTTTTTGATAAAAAGAAGCTCTGACCATAACACCGCCCACCAAGAGGCCGGTTTGGCTATACACCTGTAATCCCGAGCACCGTGGGAGGCCGAGACGCGGAATCACGAATGGTCTTAGGTAAAGAATATTCGATGATCATCTGGACAAACACAGTGAAACCCAATGTCTCTTACTAAAAAAAATAACAAAAAAATTAGCTGGGCATGAGTGGCACGGCACCTATAAAGTCCCAAGCTACTTGAAAGCTGAAAGCGCAAAGGAAAGAATGGTATGTGAACACCAGGAGTGCGGAGCTTGCCAGTGAGCAGAGATCGCGGCCACTGCACCTCCAGCCTGGCGCGGGCAGACGCGAGACTCTGTCTTAAAAAAATATATAAAAGTAAATAAATAAAAAGAAGCTCCCCTGCACAAGTCCTCTGTTGCCCACTGCCATGTAAGAAGTCCCTTTGCTCTTCTTTTGTCTTCAACCATGATTGTGAGGCCTCCCCAGCCATGTGGAACTGTGAATCCATTAAACCTCTGTCCTTTATAAATTACCTAGTCTCAGTTATGTCTTTATCAGCAGCCTGAAAACGGACTAATACAATCCTACTTAAGATAAAGGAAGCAACAGAAATATATCCACTTATTTGCCAACATTTAAAAAAGAAACCAATAACAGGATAACAGCAGAAAAAAAGAGAATAGAGTAGAAGGGACAGCTCTAGAACCTAGATTTCTTTGTGGAACCATGTAAATCTTTCCGTAAGTATGAAGCAGAATTAAATGTAAAAAAAAATTAAAAAGCAGCTGGGCACGGTGGCTCATGCCTGTAATCCCAGCACTTTGGGAGGCCGAGGTGGGCGGATCACCTGAGGTCAGGAGTTCAAGATCAACCTGGCCAACATGGTGAAACCCCATCTCTACAAAAATACAAAAATAAAAAAATTAGCCAGGTGTGATGGCGCATTCCTATAATCCCAGCTACTCGGGAAGCTGGGGCAGGAGAAACGCTTGAACCCGGAAGGCGGAGGTTGCAGTGAGCTGAGATCATGCCATTGCACTCCAGCCTGGGTGACAGAGCGAGACTCTCTCAAAAATAAATAAAATTAAATTAAATTAAATTAAAATAAATTAAAATATAAAATAAATAATAAAATAAATAAAATAAAATAAATAAAATAAAATAAAATATCCCTAAATATCCAAAGTAAAATGCAGATGAACCCAAATGTGTATACAGTTAGCCCTTTGTAACCGCAGGATGCAGAACCTGTGGACAGGGAACGCTGACTATATCCTATTGGTGGCACAAAGCCACAGAAGGAAGTCATTCCAAGTGACTCAAAACACATAATGTCATTGCATATGGCCAGTGAGATACACTGTAAGGACACAAATAACTTTACAAAAAATCTGACACTGTTTAGTAATGATATTGTTGGTAATGATGGTGACGTTGTTTTGAGAATGTTGTGTATATCTTATGGGATACAGCTCCTGATAGATTATGGTGGTGTCATTGAGAACTGGGATTTGGGGGATGGACAAAAAAAAAGTACAGAAGAGAGAGTCAAATAAAAATCCTATAGTCCTGATTTTGATCTGAAGTGAAAGTATGCAATATTCTCAGAGTAACCAGGAGCAATGAATACCCCCAGCACCCAGGTTATGGTCTGTAAGTTCCATATCCCACTAAAACAAACCAAGGCTCCCTAAAAAATTCTAGGTCTGGTACAGGAAATACATTAGATGGGCCTGGAACGTATTGTCATACAAAAGCAAGGAAGCTATGAAGGACCATTAGGGTAGTATCAAAAGGACTCAGGCCCATCTAGAATAGGTTCCTACTGGCCAAAGATGGGGAAATTTGAGGATCAATGAAGATAACTGCCCGGGTTAAAACTTATCAAATGAACCCACAGTTCATAATGAGACTTAAAAAACTAAACGCCTCAGTGATGAGTCACTTGTGGAGGATGCTAGGGAACAGCATGCTATTTTGAAGACTGGTCAGTAGAGGACAAGAAGCAAACATTTTTACCTTTCCTGTATGAATGACTCCTCAGAGTAACCAAATCATTTGTGAGGGGATAAGATCCTGCTTATAAAAGCATTCCACTCAATAATGAAGAAGGAATGACAAGATTAGAATATCACTATTTTGGAAACTCCTAATGAATTAATGGCTCTAATCAATGATCATCAATGGCTCCTAGTATCACAAAAGAGATACGCGCTTCCTGACAGAGGTACACACCACCACCTACTCATGCCAAAGAACCGAACCTAAACCTGGTTACACACTGGGCTCTACCTACCAATTGAAAAGCAGAGGGGAGAACATGCTCAGGATGGGATGCAGTCAGCAGTGTGAGAATGTGGGAAACTGCATTACAGATACCCCCATTTCTACGATTAAGTAGCAAAGCAGAAAAAATAAGAGGTGAGAGTGAGAACCTATAGATTAAAAGACAGTAAGAGATATATTAATCAGTCACAGTGTTTTGAACCTTGTTTAGATTCTAATTCAAACCTTTTAAAAATGATAGAAAATGGGGAAAATGTTAAACAAACTGGATATTTGGTTATGTGAAGGAATTATTGGGAAGTGGAATGAAGACACTGCAGTTAGGTTTTAAAAGGGATACCCTTGTTTGCTACAGATACTGAAATAAGTTATTAGAGGGCTAGATTTGCTTCAAATAAGCCAGGGCTGGGGAGTGGAGCCAGAGAGAGTGGGAAACAGGATATGAGCTGTTCATTAGTGAAGCCGGGGCATGGGCTCATGGAGGTTGACTGTACTATTCTACTTTTTATATATATATATTTTTTTTTTTTAATTTGTATAATAAAGTTTCAAAGGGAAAAATGTTTTTGAGATTACATATTTTGTGCATTTTTAAAAGAGTAGAAATGGCTAGATCAAGAAGGTGGCCCGAACACATGCTTTTTGTCCCTCCCTGCCAAAGCCCCATAGAAATGACAGAAAATGTATTTTTAAAATAATGCTCCAAGCCAGGCATGGTGGCTTACACCATTTTTTGGGAAGTTGAGGCAGAAGGATCTTTTGAGCCCAAGAAGTCAAGACCAGCCAAGGCAACAGAACAAAGCCTGTCTCTACAAAAAAATTTAGAAATTATCTGGGCATGGTGGCACACACCTGTAATCCCAGCTACTCCAGAGGCTGAGGCAGGAGGATCTCTTGAGTCCAGGAGTTGGAGGCTTTAGTGATGGCACCACTGCACTCCAGCCTGGGCAACAGAGAGACTCTTGTCTCTAAAAATAAATAAAATAATCCAGAATCCCAGAAAGGATACCAAAACTACCAGATCTAACAAAGAATTTCTGGAAGATAAAAAGGGGGGTTTTCTTTTTTTTTAGATTAAGGAAACCAAACATAGACAATCACAAACTAAAATATGTACAGATACACACACACACACACACACACAGAGAGAGAGACAGAGACAGAGACAGAGAGAGAGAGAACCGGACAGATGCAATACTGCCTTTTATGACCTAGCCTTGGCAGTCACACAGCATCACTTCTGCAGTGACAAGGTGGTCCTAGGCAGTTCAAGCAGTGAACTCCACCTCTTGGTAGGGTGTCACAAGGTCCTTGAAGAGCATATGGGACTAGAAATCTTGTCGTGGGAATTCTAGGAAAATACAGTCTGCCACATTAACGAAAGTCATTGTTTGAGCTTGGAAGAGTCTGGTCCCAAAGGTCAAAAGTTCTGTTTCTTTATTTTGAAACTCATTTTCAAAGTCATCCCCCACCGAGGTCTAGGCCCACTTCTGGAGTATGAGCCGAAGTAAGAAGAGGGATATCAGCCTTCCACAGCTCCCACGTGAGGTACTGCCACCCGTCTTATACCCAGGCTACAGTCACACTCCTGCACTAAGACAGTGCTTTCTATCTAAGTTCTGCAAGCCATCAACGTTGACCTTCATATGATTCCACACCATGACCCAACTTCCCCTTTAACTCTTACTTGATACCCTCGCGCTTGCAGGGAGTCTCTGCGCTGAGTATTCCACGAGCATCCCATGAACATTCCCAGCCACGGACTGTCTTCTTGTTTGCCTTGACTGATTGAACCCAACTACACGAGTCTCCCGGGTTGTGTTCCAGCCTGCTGTGTTAGACTTCTGGCCCAGCTCTGTCGTGGTGCCCAACCTGAAGCTCTGCTCCAAGCCTCAAGGAGGACTATCCTCCAGGTTGCTTCCATTTGACCCCCGCCGCCCCTGTGGCGGCCCCTTGTTGTTCTGTTCTTGCTCTGCCTCATTCCTGCTCTCTGTTGCTGACCTCCTAGTGTCCAGACCAAATCAAAAGATAGAACTGAATTTTTCAGGTAACCAAAATTTGTCCCTGTAAATATGAAAATGTTTCTTAACCAGTATGGATGAAAAACCATTCTAAAATGTTTTACACAGTATCCTTCATCTGAAAGCTATTATCCAGAATATACCTGATCAACTTTTCATGGTGATGAACTGTCAGCATTTACTGTTCTTTTGGCTAAGTGTTACCACAATAAGAAAAGGGAGATGAACTGTTAACATTTTTGCCTCCAGAAACTTAAATTCTAGAAAAGATTAATATTCTCGTGTTTTATCCCTTTGTGTACCTCTGATAATAAACTAATTTTATGATTCAAATGAGTAGAAAATCTACACTGTACAGTTCAGGTACAAAAATATGTCATGTTCTTTATTTTCTGTAACTGAGCCATACTTCCTTATGAGCGCCAGTCCCACAAATTAGGGGTGAGGGTGGCAGTTGGACAAGGAGAAATGGATACAAGCTCATCACAGTCTCTTCTAACTCCAGTCTTATGCTAGGTTGTCTCTTAGACTTGCAGACTTTTTCCTCATCCCTATCTTCTGTCTCAGTGGACATGGCATCCTGGGCATGAGAGAAAACATATGTGTACTCTTGGTGGAGCGGAAAAGAGGCCTCTGGTCTGTGTTCTGCCCTCTGGCCCCTCTCTACACCTGCTTCTCCTGATGAGTGACTGGTCTTAAATTCCCAGGACCCTGTCTGATGTGTACTGAATGTGGCTGCTAAAACTCCTGGCCTCTTCTCCGTCTGGTCAAATAAATCCTGGTGATCTTCCCTTGCTGACTGTTGATGCAAATGCTCTGAGATGCATCCTCCATCTGATCTCTGGCTAGATTCTCTATCGCAAAGCCTGTGCTATGGGAGCACCTGGACCTGTAACCTTAAGGACTCCAGAGCAGGTGCAGCTCCCTCCACAGGTCCCACTGGTTGCACAGGGAAGGGAAGCACAGTCTCTGGCCTGGAGAGGGTATTTAGCCCTTTCTGACTTACGACTTGGGCAATACCACGTTACTTTAGCTCCATGATGAATGGGGCAGGGAGGTGCTTTTCAAGGGGCTTGCAATTTTCCTGGACCACACTGAGGCCTCTTGCACTGAGACTTTCCCAAACTGCAGAGATGTTACCCCCTGAATATCCCTTGGCCCATAGATTTGACCCTAAGGAGCACAAGGAGACGAGTGCTCTCTCTCTCCCTCCCTCCCTCCCCCCCCCCCTCCCCGCCCACCTGTGTGTGTGTGTGTGCATGTGTGTGCACATGCACGTCTGTCACTCTGACATCCCTGGCTTCCTTCCTCCTTACTTCATATATGCCCACCTCTCTTAACCATGGTTGTTACTAAAATTCAATGGTCGTGAGTCCAAAGCCTTTCTCGCCTCCTGGTGTACATATGAGAAGGAGCATTTGATATTTAATAAAAACCTTTTTTTGTTCCTCAACAAGTTAAGGTTTCAAAACATCTGTTTTGCCAAGACTCAAAAAAGTCAATATTGAAATTTAAAATGGAACAATGATACCCTTGTTCTAGGCTTTCCCCCCACTGCCCTTGTCTAGATGTAGCCCTGTCTCATAGAACTTTCTACTAGATGGCAGAAATGTTCAGCTGTGCCATCCAGTACTGTAGTCACTAGTCACACGCAGCTGCTGACCACTTAGTGGAAATACAAATAGTATGGCTGACGACCTAAATTTTAATTTCATTTCATTTCAATGAAATCACAACATATAGCTAGTGGCTACTGTAGGGCACAGTACAGAAGAATATTTCATAAACTTCAAGGCCCACAGGACAGAAGGAAAACAGTGGACAAGCTTACCCGCAAGGCTCTTCAAAAACACTGTCCCAATTACAATAATGTGTCACTTTGTTTAAAAAGCTAGTACTTCTTGATGTCAGGAATGGCATAGGATGATATGGCCTATTTCTTTTTCTTCTAAGATCTATAGATTTTCTTCAAAGGATACTGAGCTCATTTAAATTGTTTTTAAAAGAAATCAGGGTTGACAAAAGCAAACATTTATAGAAAAATTGGTTTTGTGGTTCTTTTTAGGAAAAGGATCGTGAGCTTGAAATTAAAAACATCTATAGTCATCGAATACTTAAAAGTTTACACGACACAGAGGACTATCCAAAAGGTATGTTTTAATTACTTTTGCTCAAAATCTATTTTTAAGTATCTAGTCAGATTGTCCTAATTTATGTAGCCAAAATAATGGATATTTTCAAAAATCACTTCATTAGGCATTAAAATACATTTTGTGATTCTAGAAGAATAATGAGACTGAGATGATGAGATGGCTAGAAAGGAAGAGAAATGCTTTCCTGTTCTCCCACCCTCAGCACAGCCCTTTATGTCCTTTCTTCAGGTGGAGCAAGAGGATAACTTCAGCCTGAAGCAAAATGTCTGCCAAAAAGGGAACTTTCTAAGTGTATCTGTTAGCCAGTGTATGGCTTTTCAAAATGAACTTTATTGGGGTATACTTTACCTCAGTAAAATGCATCCATTTTAAGTGTGTACGCAGCTCAGTGGGTTTTGACAGATGCTTATACCGATGGAGCCACCACCCTAGTCAAGATATGGAATATTTCCACCTCCCCAGGAAGCTTCCTCGTGTCCCTGCAGTCAGTAGCCCCCTACCTCACCTGGCAACCACTGACTTTCCTTTGGTCACAATAGCTTAGTTTGTCTGTTCTAGAACTTCGCGTAAGTAGACTCCCACAGGATGAACTCTTTTGTATCTGGCTTCTTTTGTTCAGCATAATGTTTTTGAGATTCATCTCTACTGATGCCACTATCATTAGTGTATACCTCTCATTGGTGAAGAGTCTTCTTTCCTTCAAGACCACATGCACTTCCCCCCAAGATGTCCCAGCAACAGATTCGACTCAGAAGTAGCATAGGAATACTCAGCCCAGGCCGGGCGCGGTGGCTCAAGCCTGTAATCCCAGCACTTTGGGAGGCCGAGGCGGGTGGATCACGAGGTCAGGAGATCGAGACTATCCTGGCTAACATGGTGAAACCCCGTCTCTACTAAAAATACAAAAAACTAGCCGGGCGTGGTGGCGGGCGCCTGTAGTCCCAGCTACTTGGGAGGCTGAGGCGGGAGAATGGCGTGAACCCGGGAGGCGGAGCTTGCAGTGAGCCGAGATCACGCCACTGCACTCCAGCCTGGGAACACAGCGAGACTCCGTCTCAAAAAAAAAAAAAAAAAAAAAAGGAATACTCAGCCCTGTTTTATTAGAAGTAACTACATGTTTACTTCCAGATGCAACAAGCTCAAATTTCCTTGCCTGCCTTTGTTTGCTTCTGGCTTATAATCTAGAATAATAGAGATGATGAATCAACCAAGGGGGTGTTTAAAAGATATAATTTCCTTCACTTTTCAGGGCAAGTGCAGTCTAGACTTAGTGGTCATGTGCTTTAGCACAGACAGTCTAACCACTGATAATCAAGAGCTCTGCTACAGGATGGCTCAGTGGCCTGGCCTCTCACAATTACACGTCTGCCTTGTTGAATCCCATCCACAAAGGACAGCCTTGTCCTCCAACAGCAACACTGTCTTATCCTAACACCTACTTGTTTTGTACTCTAACACTGTGGGGCCCAAAGTAAGACAAAGCAAGGGCCCTGAAGGGAAAAACAGGAAACTTAGCAAATGCTATATATATATAGAATATTTAGAAAATACTTAGTCTACTTTATTATTACATTGCATTAATGTTATTTTATATTTAAAATCAATATTGCATCCAAATGTAAAATATGTTTCTTACACATAATCTACCTGTTCTATAGTTTCTTCAACAAAATCAGTCCAAGCAGACAGAAAAAGTTTGCCATTCACAAGTATGAGACACCAGGGAACCCAAAAATCAGATGTTCCACCTTTGACAACTAAGGTACAGCAAACTTGGAATCTTACAGTATCTAATTAAACATGTCTTAACAAAAATAAATTAGGCTATAGTCACTTGTTCTATGTGAAAAGTATTTGTAATCGTTAGACTAAAATGCAATTTAAAGTTATCTAGACCCCCCCAAAATGTGTTTTTGCTGCTTTTCTAAATCATAGGGTAAAAAGGCAACAGGAAACATGGATCGTAAAGAAAAATCAACTGAAATAAATCGTGAAATTCCTCACTGTGTCAATAAACTACCAAAGCAAGAGGATTCTAAGACAAAATATGAAGGTAATTTTAACAACTTTTTAAAGTCTGTCTTACTGGATTTTTTTATTGTGAATTACTATATGTGTATATAAAGCACACGTAAAACAGCTGGGCATGGTGGCTCAGGCCTGTAATCCCAGCACTTTGGGAGGCCGAGGTGGGCGGATCACCTGAGGTCAAGAGTTTGAGACCAGCCTGGCCAACATGGTGAAACCCTGTCTCTACTAAAAATGCAAAAATTAACTGGACATGGTGGTGTGCACCTGTAATCCCAACTACTCAGGAGGCTGAGGCAGGAAAATCACTTGGACCCAGGAGGCAGAGGTTGCAGTGAGCTGAGATCATGCCACTGCACTCCAACCTGGGCAACAGAGTGAGACTCCGTCTCAAAAAAAAAAAAAAAACACATCATAAAACAGTTTCCAGAATTATAATAAAAGGAACACCTGTGTACCCAGTACCCTGCTTAAGAAACAGTACATGAGTGCTCCCTGGAACACCCATGGGCCCTTCACAATCGTATCCCCTCACCCTGCCCATCAGAAACCACCACCATCTTGGGTTTTAGGCCAGTCATTCCCTTGCTTTCCCTCACAGCTCCCTGTCTATATATAGCTATATTCGTCTGCTTGGGCTGCCATAAGAAAATACCATAGACTGCTGGCTTAAACAACATTTATTTATTTTCTCATGGTTCTGGAGGCTGGGAAGTCCAAGATCAAGGTTCTAGCCCTTTGGCTTCTGGTTGGGGCTCTCTTCCTGGCTTTAGATGCCTCACTTCTCACTATGTCTTCATGTGGCCTTTCCTTAGTGCTTGCACAAGGAGGGTCAGGGAGAGAACACCAGTGCTCCACTGTTTCTTTTTATAAGGACACTAATTCCATCATGAAGGCCCCAACCTTGTGATCTCATTTAACCTTAATTACTTCCTTAAAGACCCAGTCTCCAAATATAGCCATACTGGGGAGTTAGGGCTTCAACATATGAAATTTGGGAGGGAGGAACACAAACATTCATTTCATAATAGTATCCTTAAATAATATATTCAGCTTTGGAAAACCGAGTAGCAAATTATTCAAATCCAGCTGAGCAAAGGGCAATATTGTCACTTTTGAATAAAGACTTCCAGGAAAAGGACTCCAGCTTCAGCTCCCCTGGATGTACAAGGGCCCAGTCAGTGGGTGAGGTCATGAATCATCCTGGGATCTGGCAGGGCTTTTCTGGGCAGGCCCCAGAGAGCTAGGGCCGAGAGAACGGGCTGCTCAAAATTTCTTATTCTAAGATCACCAAAGCTTACCTCCAGCTCTTGGGAGTAGGTGGAAACAAACTGCTTCTGTGGGGTGCAAGGAGAGTCCTCAGCTGGCCCAGGCTGCACGGCTTGATAGAGAGTACACCACTTCATCAGCCATGGGCAAGACAGGCCAAGGCCCTGGCTCACCTGGTGTTTGGTACCTGGAGGTCTAATGGAGCGGGGATCCCAGTCTGTCTCCTCATCTCTGGTGTGCAGCTAGCATCCTGGGATTGCCCTTCATCATTTCCTGCAGGTTCCTGTCACTCCCCTTCTCTACTGGATCTTCTCTTTCCTAAGCCAAGTCCTCCTCTTTCATGGTAAATTACATCATGTTTTAAAGAGCACAACCTTCACAAGCTTCTTGTAAATGGGTGTGGGTAAGGTAAATTTGTATACCTCTCATCTGGAAGTGTCATTATTCTGCCCTTACACTTGATTCATAATTGCCTAGATAGGAAACTCTAAGTTGGGGGTCATTTTCCTTTGGAATTTTGAAGATGTGGCTCATTGTTTCATGTTACATCACCACTCATGGGAGATCTGGGTGCAGTCCCGCAAGGCTGGGCAAGAGCAACTTCTGAGGAAAGAACATGCATGATGAATGAGTCCCAGAGTTTACTCAGGGCTGCAAATCAGACGTGTTCCGTAGGCAGCATGGAGAGCCCTTGTTGAACACACTGGGCATTCAGAAGAGGACCAAGAAGGGCCTCACCTTAGTTGTGAGGCCAAATAATGTTTAAATAACACAGTAGTTTGACAGAACTCACCCATAAAGCCACTCTGTCTGTTGCAGTTTGGTGGAAACTGATCATCAGTTGCAATTGCACTGTGGTCACTGGTGTGTTTAAGTTTTCCGCTTATTTTTCAGTCCACTGTCCTAATTCATATTGTCCTAGAAAGTGTATCCATTCATTTGACAAATACTTTGTGTGCATACACTATGTGTCAGACACTGTTCTAGGCATTAGGGAGACAGCAGGAAGCAAATGCAAAACCCTGCCCTCATGTGCTTATATTCTAGTATGGGAACACCTTTCCCCACCGGTTCACATGGATCCAGCTCATCGTCTATAATAACTGCCTGGAATTCCACAGACTGCACATGCCATACCTTATTTAACCATGATTCCTTCGGCAGATGTTTGGGAGGTTTTAGTGTTACTAAACCATGCTGCAGTGAACATCGTTGCACTTATCTTTGTCTATTTTTTGTAGGTTTGTTCTAAGAAGAAGTTGTTGGGTCTAAGAGTATATTCACTTAAAATGTTGATTGATACTGCCAAATTGCCATCCAAAAATGCTGTGCCAATAACACACCCACCAGTGGGGACCAAACATTCCCGTTGCCCCATCTTCTCAACAGCTCTAGAAATTATTTGCCGATTGGATGGATGAAAAATGTTCTCATTGGTTTGTTTTGTTTTGTTTTGTTTTGTTTTGTTTTGTAACAGCTCTGCTCTGTTGCCCAAGCTGGCATGCAGTGGCACAATCACGGCTCACTGCAGTCTTGTCCTCCTGGGTTGAAGTGATCCTCCCACCTTAGCCTCCTGAGTAGCCAGGACTACCGGCATGCACCACCATGCCCAGCTAATTTTTGTATTTTTTGTAGAGATGGGGTTTCGCTATGTTGCCCAGGCTGGTCTCAGACTCTTGGGCTCAAGCAATCCTCCTGCTTCAGCCTCCCAAAGTGCTGGAATTACAGGTGTGAGCCACTGCACTCAGCCATCACTGTTTTAACTGGCACTACATCCAGTTAGTAATGTTGAACGTCTATTAATAACCTTATTGGCAAATTTTATTTCTTCCTCAATGAATGTCATTTTTCTTTTGGTTTCATAATTCCCATTTGCTTGGGAAATTCTAAGAAACTATAACATAACACATTTGTTAATATCACCCTTCTCTCTAACCTATTGTCTATGCATCTATTTTCTTACCTTTTCTGTCATTTCAATGTGCTTGTGAGGTGGTGCAAATAAGTGTCCTAGACATGCCATCCTGAAATAGAGATCCATTCATTTTAAACAGCACTAAATTGCCTATTTTTCTAATACAGATTTATCAAGGGAAGAGAAACATTTGGAAGTGCAAGTACTGTTGGAGAATACTGGAAGACAAAAAGACAAAAAAGAAGACCAAGAAAAGAAAACCATTTTTGTGAAAGAAGAGCAAGAATTACCACCAAAAATAATTGAAGTTATTCATCCTGAAAGAGAAAGCACTCAAGAAGATGTTCTAGTAAGAGAAAAGTTTAAAAGAAGCATGCAGAGAAATGGCATGGATGACACACCTGACAAATGCACTGCTCCCTACACGAAAGGCCCCCTCAGACAAAGAAGGCATTACTCATTCACAGAAGCAACTGAAAATCTGCATCATGGGCTTCCTGCTTCAGGTGGGCCAGCCAATGCTGGCAACACGAAGTACAGTCATAGTACAAGCAAGCATCTCAGTAACAGAGAGGAAATGGAGCTAGAGCATTCTGACAGTGGGTATGAGCCCTCATTTGGCAAGTCTTCCAGAATAAAAGTGAAGGATACAACTTTCAGAGATAAGAAAAGCAGTCTCATGGAAGAACTCTTTGGATCAGGCTACGTGTTGAAAACTGACCAATCAAGTCCTGGTGTTGCAAAAGGCTCAGAGGAGCCTTTGCAAAGTAAGGAGTCACATCCCCTGCCTCCCAGTCAGGCCTCCGCCAGCAATGCTTTCGGAGACTCTAAAGTAACTGTGGTAAATTCTATTAAGCCATCGTCACCTACAGAAGGAAAAAGAAAAATAATTATTTAAATATAATCAATATCCTAATGCATTCTGGTTTGATATAATGCTACTTATGTGCCTTGCATCTTATTTTTGAAATGTGTGAGAGAGGGAGTGTATGTGTGTGTGTCTTTTAGTACTTAATTGACTTTCAATAATTAAATTTTTGTTTTATTGCTAATCTAGTAAAAAATCTATTTTATATTAGCCAATGATAACACTTCAAATTTACATATTTACAACTGAAACATCCATTATCTTCTGGGAGACTGGTTTACTATATGGTTTTAGTATTCTGTGGGACTCCATAGCTAGTAACTCTAAGTTAGCACAAAACATATGCATCTCATACACAACAAAATTTATCAGCAATAGAGTTGAATTGTAACTTAAAACCATGGAAGCAGGCCAGATGCAGTGGTTCACGTCTGTAATGCCAGCATTTTGGGAGGCCAAGGCGGGAGGATCACTTGAGTCCAGGAGTTTAAGACCAGCCTGGGCAACATGACACAACCCCGTCTCTACAAAAATTAAAAGAATTAGCCAGGTGTGGTGGTGTGTGCCTGTAGTCCCAGGTACTTGGGAGGCTGAGGTCAAAGAATCACTTGAGCCCAGGTCAAGGCTTCAGTGAGATATGATCGTGCCACTGCACTCCAGCTTGGGCAATCAGAGTGAGGCTGTGTCTCAAAAAATAAAAACAAAATGTAGCAGCAGCTTTGAAAGGGAACAATATGATCAAAAGACTCTTTTTACTAAAACAAAAAAACATTGGCTGGGTGCCGTGGCTCACACCAGTAATCCCAACACTTTGGGAGGCCGAGGTAGGTGGATGACCTGAGGTCAGGAGTTTGAGACCAGCCTGGCCAACATGGTGAAACCCTGTCTCTACTAAAAACACAAAAAATTAGCCGGGTGTGGTAGCACATGCCTGTAATGGCAGCTTCCCAGGCGGCTGAAGCAGAAGAATCACTGGAACCCGAGAGGCAGAGGCTGTAGTGAGCCAAAATAATACCCACCACTGCACCCTAGCCTGGGTGACAGAGCAAGACTCTACCTCAAAGAAAAAAAAAAAATACAGATGTGTATCTGTGTGTATGATGTATATGTATATATATGTGTGTGTGTGTGTATATGTGTGTGTATATATAAATATATAGTGATTACCAAGCTTAGTTTTTGGAATTTTTTTTTTTTTTTTTTTTTTGAGACAGAGTCTTGCTGTGTCACCCAGGCTGGAGTGTAGTGATAACAATCTTGGCTCACTGCAACCTCCACCCCCCGGGGTTCAAGTGATTCTCGTGTCTCAGCCTCCTGAGTGGCTGGGATTACAGGCGTGCACCACCACACCCAGCTAATTTTTGTATTTTTATGAGAGACTAAAAATGGTTTTGCCAGGTTAGCCAGGCTGGTCTTGAACTCCTGACCTCAGGTGATCCACCTACCTCAGCCTCCCAAAGTGCTGGGAATGACAGGTGTGAGCCATCATGCCCAGCCATGACAATCATTTTTGAGTTTCTCTTATTCAGCTAACCTGGGTATCCAATGTCCTGCCTTTGTGGGTGATGCTTTCCTTGTGTATACCTGAGATCCAGTATCATTTATTGAGATTTGTTGCATACCTCTACGTTGACCATTTTTCTGTTAATCTTGTTCTAAAAACTGTAAGAGTGCCATGGCCCTGCTGGTGTTTATTCAAGATAGCTGCTCAGTCCTAACTAACACATTTACTAAACTTAGGATATTTTAAATTAGGACTATAAAAAGGAGGCTATACTCCCAGCCCCATTTTATTTAGCTTACCTTCATTTAGTTATAAGGGGGAGTTGTTTATAATCTAGACCATACTATTTCCTTTCCAATGACGTTTATGGGTTGGTGTGTAATATTAACTGCAATGGCAGCTACCCAGGAGGTTGAGGCAGGAGAATCACTTGAACCTGGGAGGTGGAGGTTGCAGTGAGCCAGGATCATGCCACGGCACTCCAGCCTGGGTGACAGAGCAAGACCCTGTCTCAAAAGATATAAAAATAAATATGTAGCCAGGCGCGGTAGCCCACACCTGTAATCCCAGCACTTTGGGAGGCTGAGGCAGGCAGATCACCTGAGGTCGGGAGTTCAAGACCAGCCTGACTAACATGGTGAAACCCTGTCTCTACTAAAAATACAAAAATTAGCCATGCGTGGTGGCCAGCATCTGTAGTCCCAGCTACATGGGAGGCTGAGGCAGGAGAATTGCTTGAACCTGGGAGGTGAAGGTTGCAGTGAGCCGAGATCACACCACTGCACTCCAGCCTGGGCAACATTGTGAGACTCCATCTCAAAAAATAATAATAAAAAAAATAAGAATAAAAATAGTAGACCAGGCGCGGTGGCTCACGCCTGTAATCCCAGCACTTTGGGAGGCCGAGGCGGGTGGATCATGAGGTCAGATCAAGACCACCCTGGCGAACACGGTGAAACCCGTCTCTACTAAAAAATAACAAAAAGTTAGCTGGGCGTGGTGGCGGGCACCTGTAGTCCCAGCTACTCGGGAGGTTGAGGCAGGAGAATGGTGTGAACCTGGTAGGCAGAGTTTGAAGTGAGCCTAGATCACTACAATTGGCATATGCTTTGATCTTTTATAAAAAGCAAGGTGCAATAAGATACAAAAGAAGAGGACAGAATGGGTAAGGGGAGGGAGGGAGAGCTCTCACAGGCTCCTAAGGGGAAATACGCAAATGCAGTGAGATGACATAGTGGCCTAAATTCTGGAGGAATGTATTGAAAGGACTCCTGGAAATGGTATGCTGAGTAACATGACAATGTCTACTCCAGCTTCATAGCAGATAGAGGATTTTCCAAGGGATCTTTTCGTATGCCCACCCACAATAAAAGCACAAAGAATATTATATCATAGAAATATTATGATTTAATATCATAATATTAAATCATAGCTATATTTAGAAGTGTAGAGAACTAATTTAATAAAAACAGAATCTAAGCCTGTTGTTGTCTAGTCATCTTAATTATATGCATAAAAAAGGTAGAGGGTCACAGATTAACATGCTAACTTTTTATCTCTTGAGGTATGAGATTAGGGCCAATTTTTAATTTATTTTTAGTGTTTTCTACTTTGGCTTTCTTTTGCATGTTTGCTATAATGAACATAACTCTACGATCATGGAAAAAAAGATTTTTAAAAACAAATCTATTTCCTGAGCTCTGAGAGACAAGGTACTGCAACACTCTTGCCGGAACAAAAGCTAAAAATGCCGTACTAACGATAGAAAACGTTTCTAAATTGGCTGGTCAGCTGGTAAACACTCAACGAAATTAGGCACCCGAGGAGATAAGTAAGCAAAGCACTAAAGTAAGCTTCTGCCTAAAGGGCATTTGCCGAAATTAGAGAACTGAGCATCACAGACTCCTCCTGAGGACAAAACCCAGGCAGCCCAAGTTAGGGGGTCCCTTTTCCATACAATGCTGGGACCTCCCTGGGGTCTCCAGCTCAGTGAACTAAAAAATTGTAAGTAAAGAACTCAGATTCCTTACAGGTGGCTCAAGCCTGTAATCCCAACACTTTGGGAGGCTGAGGCAGGCAGATCACTTGAGGCCAGGAGTTCGAGACCAACCTGGCCAACATAGTGAAACCCCGTCTCTTACTAAAAATACAAGTATGAGCCAGGCGTGGTGCTGCATGCCTGTAATCCCAGCTACTCAGGAGGCTGAGGCAGGAAAATCGCTTAAACCCAGGAGGCGGGGGTTGCTGTGAGCCGAGATCACGCCACTGCACTCCAGCCTGGGCAACAGAGCAAGATTCCATCTCAAATTAATTAAAAGAAAAGCTAGCACGAAAGACACGCAACTCTTCTTTCACTTGAACGTTTAGAAGCCACCATTATTATTGAAATTAGGGGCCAATGTTGCCCTACTTTCAACATTTTTGTGTCTTAAGGAATAGGGAGCCCTGGGGAGCGGGGAGAGACGGGAATGGCCAAGTCAGTGGAGCAGTCAGAACCCACACATTTATACATTAAATCTGCTGCCTCGTACGGGTGTAATTGTTGATGCCCCAAAACAATTACCATAGTAACATCAAAGATCGCTGGTCACAGACCACCATAACATATAATAATGAAAAAATATGAAATGTCATGAGAATCCCCAAAACGTGACACAGAGACACAAAGTGGGCACATGCTGTGGATAAACGGCGCTGACAGACTTGGTCGATGCAGGGTGGCCACAAACCCTCAATTTGTGAAAAAGATAGTGTCTACGGAGCACAGTAAAGTGAAGCACAAAACATCAGTCATGTCTGTGTGCTGAAGAGCATACGAAACCAAACAACGTATTTTTACAGATTCAAATATGTGATACGACCATGACAAATAGGAAATGATAAAATTCAGAGCAATGGTGTTACCTTTGCTCAGTTGGGATCGCAAAGGTTCTTCTAAAACTTGGGTGAAAGATACAAAGATTTGTATTTTCATTCTTTAAAATTTACATATTTTAAATATTTTATACCTCTCAATATTTAATAAAAACTATTTTTTAAAAAGATTCAGGAACAATGGCTGGGCAGAGTGGCTCACACCTATAATCACAGCACTCTGGGAAGCTGAGGCAGAAGATCACTTGAGGACAGGAGTTTGAAACCAGCCTGGACAACATAGCAAGACCCCATCTCTAAAAAAATTTAAAAATGAGCCCACAGTTGTGATACACACCTGTTGTCCCAGCTACACAGCAGGCTGAGGCAGGAGGATCACTTGAGTCCAGGAGTTCGAGACCAGCCTGGGTAACACAGTCAGACCCTGCTCTCTATAAAAATAAAAAATGAGAAACAGCCAGGCATGGTGACGCATGCCTGTAATCCCAGCTATTCAGGAGGCCAAGGCTGGAGGATCGCTTGAGCCCAGAAGCACAAGGTTGTAGTGAGCTATGATCACGCCACTGCACTCCAGCCTGGGTGACAGAATGAGACCCTGTCTCTTAAAAAAAAAAAATACAGGAAAAGAATTTGGCCAATATAAAGGAATGACTGCCCTACCCTTTAGAGTCCAATATCCTTACCCACAATATTGGCCAAAACTACAAAATATTCATGCAATTTAAGACTGAATTCACTGGTAAGAGTCAGCACTCTGAGTGTCGACAGATTTATACACATTAGATCCCAAAGGCGCATGCGGGAAAGCCAACCCACACAAGAACCCTGGGCCCAGAGACAGAATGAGCTGCCTGGCCTGGGATTCCAGTGGTGTTCAAACCAATCACGTGTGGCTTTGAATCTGTGACATCACCAAAGTGCTCTATACTGCAGGCCTTATAAGACAGCAGCACTTAGAAAATTCTCCTGACAGTTGTTAATTGCTAACATTTCAACTGCAAAGAAAACAGACTCCATACATGGCTCTAGTGGAAAACCATGATGTGATTCGGAGTTAAATACTCCTGGGTACTGACTGAAGGCATGCTGGAGGAGTACAGAAAAGCTCAGGGATAATCCCAGGCCCTAAAGGCGCTTGCAGCATCACTGAAATAACCTTTTATCACACACACGAAAAAGGATCTACAACATTAGAAACAAAACCACAACAGCAGATACCACCAATCAGTCATACAGCTACTACTTTAAATGCTCACATGATGGATAGGAAAGAAAACTCACTACCATAAGGGGGTCAGAGAAAGCTTTATTAAGTCTAAAGCTCTGGTTCCAGGGGGGCCGTCAGCACATACGTACACACACACACACACACACACACACACACACTCTCTCTCCCACAAAGCACTGTGTAAGAAAAACTATGGAAGGTCAGAGAGCCCGCCAGGTCAGGGGAAAGTAAACCAGTTTGCCTAGCATTCCAGCCCCTATGGCGGCAACAGGAGCACATAAAACCTGTAAAAAATGATGATGGGCTGGGCGTGGTGGCTAATGTCTGTAATCCCAGCACTTGAGCCCAAGAGTTTGAGACCAGCATGGGGAACATAATGAGACCCTGTCTCTATTTAAAAAAAAAAAAAAAAAAAAAAAAAGATTATGGATTTATATATTAAAAAATTTCCCTGATTTACCATAAATTTATGACCAAAAAAAATTGTTATGAAGAGAGCTTTAGATTTTTTTTTTTTTTTTTTTTTTTTGAGACAGAGTCTCGCTCTGTCACCCAGGCTGGAGTGCAGTGGTGTGATCTTGGCTCACTGCAACCTCCACCTCCTGGGTTCAAGCGATTCTCCTGCCTCAGCCTCCTGAGTAGATGGGATTACAGGCGTGCGCCACCACGCCTGGCTAATTTTTGTATTTTTAGTAGAGACGGGGTTTCACCATATTGGTCAGGCTGGTCTTGAACTCCTGACCTCGTGATCCGCCCACCTCAGCTTCCCAAAGTGCTGGGATTACAGGTGTGAGGCACCGCGCCCAGTGCTTTAGACGTATTTTAAATCAAAGAGATACCTGTTTTCACATAAAATTATAAAATAGATCCAGTATTTTTAAAATAAAAACAAAAACCTGCTGGGCACCGTGGCTCAGGCCTGTAATCCCAACTTTGGGGGGTTATGGCAGGTGAATCACCTGAGGTCAGGAGTTAGAGACCAGCCTGGCCAACATGGTGAAACCCTGTCTCTATTAAACATACAAAAAATAGTCAGGCGTCATGGTGCAAGCCTATAGTCCCAGCTACTCAGGAGGCTGAGGCAGAAGAATCACTTGAACCCAGGAGGCGGAGGTTGCAGTGAGCCAAGATCGCACCACTGCATTCTGGCCTGGGCAACAGAGCAAAACCCCATCTCAAAAAATAAATAAAAATAAATTTAAAACAAAATAAAACCTATCATTAGCTTTCAACATTATACACACATATCTAGAAAAAAGCAAAAGCATAGATGCTAACGCCAGCCACCCTAGTGCTATGGAGTCACAGGTTTTTCTTCCTTGCTGCTTTTCTGTACTTCCCAAGTTAGATTTTTTTAAAAAAGCAGTAAATAGGTACTACTTTTGTCTTTTTGGGTATTACTTTTATAACTTTAAAACATTTACCTTAAAAGCACATATATTAATATTCATAAATGCATGGAATATCACTGGCAGTGTCGTAAGAAACTGGTAACAGAGGAAAACTTTGGGAAATTGGGTGACAAGAGTCATAAGATGCACATTTACTGCAGCCCTTTCTCTATCTTCTGAATTCAGCACCATGTTCATCATCTGTTGAAACAAATTGTAGGCAGGACGCGGAGGCTCACACCTGTAATCCCAGCACTTTGGGAGGCCGAGGCGGGTGGATCACCGGAGGTCAGGAGTTCGAGACCAACCTGGCCAACATGGTGAAATCCTGTCTCTACTAAAAATACAAAATTAACTGAGTGTGGTGGCGCACACCTGTAATCCCAGCTACTCGGGAGGCTGAGGCAGGGAATCACTTGAACCCAGGAGGCAGGGTTAGTGAGCTGAGATCGCACCACTGCACTCCAGCCTGGGAGACAAAAAAAAGTGTGTAATTTCTAAAAAGACACAATAAAGTGAAATATAAAGGACATTTACCTCCCCTATTTCATCATCACAAACTATTCACGTATGGGGAAAGTTAACAGCTGTGAACTAGAAATTTTTACCTCTAGCCTCAGTGAGATTTGTCAAAATTCTTCTAACAACTGAATGAGACTGTCCTTAAGAGATAAGGGTCTCATCAGGGGCACTGTATGCGAACGAGTGATCCCCACAGTTCCCTGGGCACGCTCTACATGGCCGGCGCACTGCTGACTGTTCGCCATCATTTCTGCCTGCAGCTCACTGAAACGCAAGTTAGGCACGTGCCCCCTTGGTGCTACATTTGGTTCGAGGGACTAGTCCCTGCAGTTTCCGTGTGCTGCTCTCATCTCCTCCTCAGTTGGCTTCTAATTCTTCGTGGGAAAAACGTATCCCGTGTGGTGATGGACACTGGAAGCTGGTGTCCAGGTCCTCCTCGAGGCTGCGGCTGTGGTCCCTGCTCTCTGTCCTTTCTTAAAGCTAAGTAGACTTGGTGCTGGGTAAGCCTGCAGTGCGTGTGTGTTTGAGTAAGTGGAACCCAAAAGCCGCTCTGGTGGTCTTCAGCATGACAATAAAGGAAAGGACCACAGCACTTTGTCTTTTCATAGTCCAATCAGCTAAAAGAACGACAAGCTACTTATTAGATTAGGAAACAAAAGAATACAAATACGAACTTGCAGAAACCAGTGGAAGAATTCAGCTTTACTGTGATAGGGTTACTCACTTAACAGCCACTTGTCAGTTGCGGGTGGCTCACAGCAAACAGGCAGCTGTAAGGCAGGAAGTTACACAAGCACTTGCAAAGATTTTAATTAGAAAAAAGTGTTTGAAGAAACATTTAGCAGAATTAGATTTTGTGGGCCACACAGGTTATTGGTTCCGATTAATTTAATCAGGCCTTATAAGGTTTGTTTTCTGTGTTCCATTCTAAAGAGCATAAATATTAAATGCTTATAAAATACACTTCATTCAAAATGCCTTAAATACAAAACACAATTTGAGCACAAAACAATGCATTATGGTCTTGTGGATACATTTATAAAACACTGTAATGAAAAATTAACAGCCTCAAGTAAGTAGATAATACTACACAATGCTTCCTCAACAAATGACATTTTAAACCAAGGAAGAAAAAGCCCCAGTAATGCCAATTAGTGTTGTTCTTTTAGTTGTATTGAATGTGATTAAAGGAGAACTTTTTGAATTCTTAGTAGTGGTATTAAAATTAAGTTACTTTCTAAACTGGATTAAAAACAGCACTAAGTCTTCAAAGAACTTAAAGTTGTTAGAAAATTTTGACTTTCCAGCTGGCAATATGACCAAAATACACAAGAGGGCAAATCACAAGTGACGGCACGGAGATGTCCCTAAACATTTCACATTTCGTACAGATCTAGGACGGTGTTCACTGTACACACATGTCATAAACTGGACTTTCTTCACTCAATGACAGGTGTAGAAAATCATGATTCTTACAAGAATCTCTCATAAAGTCCAAGAACAAACATATTCAACAACAAAAAAAAATCGAAACTGTGCACATTTGTTTCTTAAAAAACAAAACAGTGTAAATCAGATTTTTAACCTAATAAGAGAAAATCCATTTTTAAAAGTTTCATAGCTGTATCCATCTTCCTATTCAGCTGAATGGATGAAGCACAATAGCCACAACTTTGTTACAGACTAAAATCCAACAGGTAATTCCAACACCACCTGAAAACAAAGAAATTCACCATGAGAGAGCGCCCCAGCAGTGCTGCCCACATCTGTCTCTGCTGTCCTTAACTCACAGCAAAGACAGTATTTCCACTCTTTTTGAGCAGTGCTAGGCTGAGGCGAAGTTTATGTTTCATAGGTTCAAATTTGTCACTTTCTTTATTTTATTTTTATTTTTTTTGAGACAGAGTCTCGCTCTCTCCCTCAGGCTGGAGTGCAATGGTGCGATCTCAGCTCACTGCACCTCTGCCTCCCGGGCTCAAGTGATTCTCCTGCCTCAGCCTCCCGAGTAGCTGGGATTACAGGTGTGCACCACCACACTCGGTTAATTTTGTGTTTTTAGTAGACACAGGGTTTCACCATGTGGGTCAGGCTGGTCTCAAACTCCTGACCTCAGATGATCCGCCCGCCTCCCAAAGTGCTGGGATTACAGGCATGAGCCACCGTGCCCAGCCCGAATTTGTCACTTTCTACAGAGTCACAGGGCTGCATTCTTTACTAAGCAGGACTCGCAGTGAACAGTGGACCCTGGGCTGAACTTCCCTTTCCTGCCAGAGAGATGTGCGTTACTACTTATGATATTAATAGATTCCAAAACCAAACCTGTAAGATTAACTTTTCCTTTCTCAGAAAGCATTATAAACAAAGCAATGTCTACCTATGCCTTTCTTGCCCCACCAATAATGGAGAGGCACACATATCCCCCTCTCCAGGAGGACAGGCTGCAAGAGTAGCCCATGGCCCTGCTGGAGGCATGGAAGGGTGGCTGGATGCTTCTCTGGCCCGCAGCGCAGAGCTCCTGGCCTAGGCCCAGCTGTGTCAAACAAAGGAGAGGGGAAGCAAAGGGTGGAGAACGGGACAGGAGTGGTAGCTAAATTGGGAGTCTTTGAAACAGACATTCCCAGCCAGGCACAGTGGCTCACGCCTGTAATCCCAGCACTTTGGGAGGATAAGGCGGGTGAATCACCTGAGGTCAGGAGTTCAAGACCAGCGTGGCCAACATGGTGAAACCTTGTCTCTACTGAAACTACAAAAATTAGTCAGGCGTGGTGGTGGGCACCTGTAATCCCAGCTACCGGGGAGGCTGAGGCAGGAGAACCACTTGAAACCTGGGAGGCGGAGGTTGCAGTGAGCCGAGATCACGCCACTGCACTCCAGCCTGGGCAACAGAGTGAGACTCTGTCTTAAAAAAAAAAAAAAAAGAAATAGTCATTCCTTTTGATACAGTATTCACCTCTAGCATAACCACAAATCACAACCAAAGACCAGCAAGGATGTGTGCTGCAGCATTATCTTTAACAACAAAAAATCAGGATCCAAATAAATATCCTTCCTCAGGAAAATTTGCAGATGACATATCTAAATGAAGAACAGCTACTGCAAATTCCTTAATGAAGAAATGTGCCAGGCAAGGTGACTCACGCCTATAATCCCCGCACTCTGAGAAGCTGAGCAGGGAGGATTGCTTGATGCCAGGAGTTTGGGACCAATCTAAGCAACAAAACAAGACCCCATCTCTATAAAAAACTTTTTTTTTAATTAGCTGGGCATGGTGGTGTGCAACTGTGACCCTAACTACTCAGGAGACTAAGGTGGGAGGATCACTTGAGCCAAGGAGTTCGAGGCTGTAGTGAGCTAGGAGGGTGCCACTGCCAACCTGGGCAACACAGCAAGACCCTGCCTCAAAAAAAAAAAAAAGAAAAGAAAAGAAATTTACTGATATGGTGCTATGGTCTGCATGTTTGTATCCCCCTAAAATTCATCTGTTAATATGTTACCCCCCACAGTGATGGCATTAAGAGTTGGGGCCTTCTGGGAGGTGATTAAGTCACAAAGGCAGAGTCCTTGTGAATGGGATTAGTGCACTTACAAAAGAGGCCTAAGGGAGCTCGTGCTTCCACCATGCAAGGCCACAGTGAGAAGACATTATCCATGAACAGGAAAATGGGCCATCATCAGACATCAAATCTGCCGGCACCTCGATCTTGGACTCCCCAGCCTCCGGGACAGTGAGAAATACATTTCTGTTGTTTATGAGCTACCCAGTTTATAGTATTTCACTTAGCCCTAAAAAACTAAGACGTGGGAATAGGCTTACACTATAAAGTAAAAAGGAGGTACAAAATGTTATGTGCCAGGTGACCTTAACTATATCAAAATAAATGGGAAAAAAAAGACAAAGAAAAATATATTACAGCATTAAAAGCTAATAGGAATCTTATTTTTTATTTATTTTATTTTATTTTGTTTTGAGACAGAGTCTCACTCTGTCACCCAGGTTGGGGTACAGTGGCATGATCTCAGCTTACTGCAACCTCCCCCTCTCGGATTCAAGTGATTCACACTCAGCCTCCCAAGTAGCTGGGATTATAGGCACGCACCACCACGCCCAGCTAATTTTTTGTATTTTAGTAGAGACAGGGTTTCACCATGTTGCCCAGGCTGGTCTCAAACTCCTGGCTCAGGCAATCCGCCCACCTTGGCCTCCCAAAGTGCTAGGATTACAGGTGCAAGCCAGTGAACCCAGCTGGGGTTTGTAATTAATCACTATATTTCTAATCATTCTATAGTGACATGTACTACTTTTAATATCCAAAAGAATTATCTTCAAAAATAAAAGAACGTGGTCGGGCACAGTGGTTCATGCCTGTAGTCTCAGTACTTTGGGAGGCCAAAGTGTGAGGATCACTTAAGGTCAGGAGTTTGAGACCAGCCTGGCCAACATGGTGAAACCTTGTTTCTACTAAAAAATATGAAAATTAGCTGGGCATGGTGGTGCACGCCTGTAATTTCAGCTAGATGGGAGGCTGAGACATAAGAATTGCTTGAACCTGGGAGGCAGAGGGAGCAGCGAGCCAAGATCACACCACTGTACTCCAGCCTGGGTGACGGAGTAAGACTCTGTCTCAAAAAATAAAAAATAAAAGAATAGCCAAGAGCATCAAGTGCTACAGAGAGGCCAACCACAATGGGGACTGAAAAGAGACAGAACTGTGGACCTACAGCTAGTGTTTCAATGGGGTATCAGACTTGACGCACTGGACATGGGTCCCGGAAACAGACCTAGGACTGAATTCTAGCTTTGCTCCTTAACATTTTGGTGACACTAGACAAGTGAAGTAACTTTTCTAGACCTCAGTTTCTTCATGGCAAGCCTCACAAAACCTGCTCACTAAATGGACAGTGAGGAGGATGTCAGGCTAACTTAATCTTCTACCACACACCTCTACACAAGCCTATCCACACTCTTCCACTATATCTTCCAGAAAATTCTTACCTGCTACTCTAGTAGGAAAGGCTACCAGGCGGTCTAGAGGGGTTATCCATTTACTCGGCACAACAGCCACAGGGACAGAATAATACTTCCAAATGAGTGAGATCATCAGCGCAGCCTGGAAAGACACCTGTGGTGAGTGGCACAGCCTGCCGGTCACACGACCCACCGCACAGAAGGGAGCACAGGGAAATGCGAAAACAAACACAGGAAAACTCTCCAGACTGAGCACCTCAAGCCTAGGAACCCAGTCCCCACAGACAACAGATGAGCACACACGGCCACTAATGTCCCCTGGTGAAACCCTGAATTAGAAAGTCTAATTAAAGACGAGCTCAGCAGCATGTCCGGAACACTGCCAACAAGTAGGCGAGCCTTCCTCTGTGAACTGGCATTTCCCTGTTTTAGGATAAATACAATCTACACATAATTTGAATTAGCTGATCAACTAACCAAAGTCTCCCATAACACGGGTGTGCTTTTCTCACTGAGTATCTGCTTTGGGTAGCCAGACTGTACACTAAACACACCTTATTAGTGATGAAAGCCATCCTTGAAAAAACAGGGAATTCTCCCAAGTGCACCAGTGTTAGCAAGGCACACAGAGGTGAGCCCTGTGTAAGTTTCAATGGTGGGGGATGCTTTAATTCCCTCCATCCCCCTGCAGCATTCCTTCGACTGTCATCTGTCCCCTTCCTGGCTTGAATAGGCCACTCAGAAGAGGAGACATGAAAGAGGGTTGCTGGCCTAACTCCTTTATCTGCAGGAAATTTACCTCTTAGCAAATGGCAGTGCCTCAGGATCAATTTCCTTAAATCTACCCACCCCAAACTAAGCTTTCTGCAGGGTGAGCTTGAATGCTTTGCCTTGGTACTAGATCACACAGTACTGCAACTCGGATATTTACGGCAGCTGCTAAAGGTGTCTGGGTAGCACAACTGTACTCTCGGGGCAGAGCAGAGCCCAGCAACAGCTCCAGGAGAGGCTCCGTGGGTTAAGCCCCAGGCAGGAAAGCTAGAAGCCAATTTCAGTGAGAAAAGCTGGTTCTCTACCTGGAGGGTGGAGAGTGCCCATGAAGTATACCAGGTAACAAGTAAGAGCCAAATTACTGAAGATCTCAGAAAAAACCAACGTCATCTATAAGCTTCTCACTTCATCCCACCTGGCCGTTCAAACCACAAGGGGATGAAGGCGTGGTGGAAGCTCTCCGAGAACTTCCTTCACAGTTCATCTGCCAAAAAGTCCCAAACTGTAACAACTCTCCTCAAGAGAAAGGCTTCCTTTTAGTCTGACTTACAGACCGAGAGTGTTTACAGCTCCGTGTGGGCAGGGCCACACGACACGATAGCTGAAGGTGGAACAGCCCAAACTCCCAGCCCTGGATCTACAGGCAACGCTCTGGAGTTCAGGGCCACCAACTCCAATGACCCGGCTGGCGCTCTAGCACACTTACCTGCAATACGTAGAAAGCGACACTTATCACCCATTTTATCTTGGCTAATTGAGCTGTCCGAGCTTTCACTGAAAGGAAAAACAGGATAAACAATTACGTCCTAAAAAATTAACAACATATTCAAATACACAGAAATGTTATTTTCCCGTATAATACACTTTCTGATTATAAATGGAACAATCACTCAACATATTCAACATAATTAGAAAATGTACAATAGAATTTTTAAGTCACCCACCATCTCATTATGCCATTATTTAAAATAGAATCCTATTCAGATTGAGATTTGAATAGCTTTAATTTTGAAAATTCTTTTTTTTGAAAACTTTTTTTTTTTTTTTTTTTTTTTTGAGACAGAGTCTCGCTCTGTCGCCCAGGCTGAAGTGCAGTGGCCAGATCTCAGCTCACTGCAAGCTCCGTCTCCTGGGTTTACGCCATTCTCCCGCCTCAGCCTCCCGAGTAGCCGGGACTACAGGCGCCCACGACCTCGCCCGGCTAGTTTTTTTGTATTTTTCAGCACAGATGGGGTTTCACTGTGTTAGCCAGGATGGTCTCGATCTCCTGACCTCGTGATCCGCCCGTCTCGGCCTCCCAAAGTGCTGGGATTACAGGCTTGAGCCACTGCACCGGCCTTTGAAAACTCTTAAAATGACTCATGAAATCAAAGATTCTTCGTATAATAGAATTACCACTTACCAACAGGACTAAATTTTCCTCCCTATTTCCCAGTCTGCACAGTACACGAACCCCTGGTGGGAATCCAGCTTGTCCTGGGCCTGGACAGGCCCCCTTTGTCTGTTTTCCTAGCCACAGAGACAGCTGTCTGACTGTGCACACACTGTGCACAGGGTTCCTCAGCACACGGGCTGCCCTGAGAAAGCGCTCTTCATCACAGGAGACTGTACCTGGGAGGTGACACTCGGAAGAGGACACTGCTGGGCATTTTTCTAGAGAGTGGAACAAAAGCCTCTGACAATCCACTGTGAGACTTTTTTTCTGGGCTTCTCTCAGAAAAGTGATGAATTTAAAAATGAAAACCTACAATAAAGAGTTGGCTCTGAGGAAAACCTGAGAGGATTCTTAGATGTTTCTGTGATTAGAAAGCAAAGGTTCACCAACAAATAAGAAGAAAGTAATTATTACTGAGTTTCCTCCAGATAACTTAAAAGTTTCCATCAATATTCAAAACATCCAAGAAGCAAAGTATGTATTCTACTAATCTTTACATACAGACTTCTCTATAAATCAGCTCTCACGAAGCCTTCAGGCTGCAAGGGACGCAGTACCGTGGGTTTTGAGCTTATCCGTCATCTTGTTGATCTTTCTTTCCAGCCTGGCGTATCTGGCAAACTCGTCCATCATATTGACCGTGGAGAGCTCCTGCTTCATGTCCTGGATCTCCGCTCTCATCTGTGACTCCTGCTCCGCGTCCTTCTGCAGCACCCTGGACATCTGGCAGGGCGGACAGCGGGGATCAGCATCTTCCAACACGGGCCACAGGAGGATCCCCCAATCTCCCCCTACTTTCTGTCTATGCCCTGACCACTCTGTGACCCAGCCAATTGTGTGTTTCCCTGCAGGCTTGAACCCAAACTGGGGCCGTGAACGTTCTCAGGACTAATAAAGAGTGAAGGCTGTTGCTGGAGAACACTGGAAGATTCATCCTGCTGAGAAACACCTACAAACTAGCCTCGCCATGACAAAGTCCTCAAACTCCCACATACACTCCAAACCCCAGCCCCCCGGTGGCAGACAGCCCTAGGTAAATGTCCCTTTCTCTCACTGGCTGTCCCAGGACGGCCACAGCTCTTGTAAGTTCCCTTCGTGAATGCTGTGGACTCATCACCCTGGCGTTTAGTGCTTCTTTCTTTGGAATCCAAGCTGGCCCCATCTCCAGGCAGTCTGGAGCAGCCCCTTGAGGGAACTCCCCTGCCACTGCCTTTGAGGCGACTCCAGCATGGGTTTGACCAGGCAGAACCAGTACACCCTGCTCCAACATCCTACTCCTGCCTCTGCCAACTGGCCAAGCTGCCTACTACCTACACAGCCAGCCTCTGCTGCCTTTTTCAACTCTCTATAACTACCACCAAAAAAAAAAAAAAAAAAAAAAAGGCCAGGCTTACTGGCTTACACCTGTAATCCCAGCACTTTGGGAGGCAGAGGCAGGCGTGAGCTGAGATCATACCACTGCACTCCAGCCTGGGCGACACAGCAAGACTCCCTCTAAAAACAAATAACTACCACCAAAAAAAAAAAAAAAAAAAAACCTCATATTCAAATTGCTATTCAAACTATATTTTTCCTTTTGCGGAGATGCCCATGAATTGCTCCAATACAAATTTTTGTCTCTTTCACTATAACTAAAATTGCAATTATGAAATGAAAACCAGTTTCATCACCAGAGCGGTTATTCCAGTGACAGGGAACGTGGGTCCTCTCCCCTGCCTGAAGAATTCAGTCCTAGATTAGATGGGGCAGAGCAAGGTGCAGGTGCAGGGCAACAGCGGTGAGGCGGGGCCAGGGCAGAGTGTCAGTGCCCAAGTTCAGTGCAGAGGGCCTTCCCACAGAATGGCACCCTGGCAAGAGGCATCAGGGCCAGGCATGGTGATACAGGGGTCCCCAAGAAAGGGCAGCCTGACACAGGAGTCAGGGTCTGTAGGGTGAGGGGGACGGACATACAAGACAAGAAGGAAACCTGCCCGTGTCAGAGCCCAGGTGGGGCGAGGCATGCATTCACATGGGTATCAGTTGGTGGTGGACACCAGAGATTAATTACAAAAGGGTGATCACAGAAATAAACATACTGAGGATAACGTAAGCCAGTCTTCTCACTTTCAGCAAAGACACTTAGAAAAATGCCTCAGCCTGGCGTGGTGGCTCGGCCTGCAACCCTAACACTCTGGAGGACGGGGTGGAAGGATCTCTTGTGTACAGGAGTTCAAGGCTGCAGTGAGCTCAGATCATGCCGTTGGACTCCAGCCTGAACAACAGAGTGAGACCTTGTCTCAAAAAAAAAAAGAGAGAGAGAAAAGAAAAAAGGCCGGGTGCAGTAGCTCATGCCTATAATCCCAGTACTTTGGGAGGCCAAGGCAAGTGAATCGCTTGAGCCCAGGAGTTTGAGACCAGTCTTGGCAACACGGTGAAACTCTGTCTCTACAAAAAATATGAAAAATTAGCCAGTTTCATAACCTGGTGAAGGAAGGTAGGGAAGGAGGGAGGAAGGGAGGGAGGGAGGAAGGAAGGCAGGCAGGCAGGAAGGCAGGCAGGAAGGCAGGCGTCTCCAAGAGAAGCAGAATGAATCTTGTGGTGTTGGCTTAGAATTGGAGATCTGTGGTTTCCACAGACAGGCAGAGAAATACAGACATAAACAAAGAGGCACCCTCCCCAGGTTGGCCTGGCTGGCCCGGGGCCCCGCATGACCTGGGGGCCCGCCTGCGTCGCCCCCTGCAGGCCCCGGTTCCCGGCACCAGCCCCAGTAGTCTACTCTCCAGGGAACGGCCCCGGGCCACGGCACCGGGAGGGGAGGGGTGGCTGGCGCGCAAGGGAGGAGTCGGCAGTGGCCGCCAGGTGGCGCCCGCAGATCTGCCGGGAAGGCCTAGTCCGGGGACTGCGCGGGTGCCCCAAGACCAGATCCCTTACAGGCGCCTCGGCCACCTGCCCCAAGGGATCAGCGAACATCCCCAAATCCCAGTCCCACACCAGCGGATGAGATACAATGAGAACACAGCACTGCCTCTCAGATATCCCTGCCAAGTATCAGACATGCCAGTGGACATCCATTCTGTGAAATCACTGGCCTCTGATACTCACAAATGACAGCCATGAAAGTCAAGGGAAAACCGGGAAACTCCTCCAGACAGAAGGAGGCTAGAGGCCGGGAAATACAACGCATGATTCCGAACTGGGTCCTTTCCCTGTTAAGGACGTTACCGCAACACGTGGGGAACCTGAATGGGGCCTGAGGATCAGATCGTGGTAAAGTACTTGATGCCTGCATTAGATCTCGGCTCACTACAACCTCAACTTCCTGGGCTCAAGCCATACTCCCACCTGAGCCTCCTGAGTATCTGCGACCACAGTCGTGCACCACCGCGCTCGGCTAATTTATTTTTAGTTTTAGTAGACACGCGGTTTCACTATGTTGCCAGTGAACTCCTGAGTTCAAGCAATCCGTCCGCCTCGGCCTCCCAAAGTGCTGGGGTTAAAGGCGTGAGCCACTGCGCCCGGCCCCCAAGAATCTATTGAATACCAAAGTACCTGGGAATGAGGGGGTTCAGACTGACAACTCCAAATGGTTCAGGAAACAGAATCAGCTCTCGGTATTGACTGTATGCGTAACTTTTCTGCACATTTGTGTTTGTTTCGAAATTTTTAAAACAGACTAATAAAGATGAAATGTTATAGTGTATCTAAAGTGTGCCTGACACACAGTAAGCACACAATAAATGAGATTCCCTCTCCCCCTCCCAGCTCACAGGTCTCCTCTGCCTGCCGCACAGTAGGGACAACTCTCCAGTTAGAGCTGGGAAGCCGAGTCCGGCCAGCCACCTGAGAGGGAGTACACAAAACAATTAACTCAGGAATGGGAGGTGAGTGAAGGCAGAAGAGTGAACTTGAGGAAAACTGAAGGCAGCTTTGTAAGGTTAACAAAAACAACTGGTGCTTGAAAAAAAAATTACATCTATTACATGTATAAGCACAATAAAAATTGTCTGAGCCAGGCGCGGTGGTTAACCCTGTAATCCCAGCACCTTGGGAGACTGAGGCAGTAAGATCATTTGAGCCCAGGAGTTCGAGACCAGGCGGGGCAACATGGCAAGACCCAATCTCTACAAAAAAAAATTAAAAATTAGCCAGGCGTGGTGGCGCAGCTGTGGGTGCCTGTGCCCCCAGCTACTTGGGAGGCTGAGGCGGGGAGGGAGGGATCGCTGGAGCCCGAAAGGTTGAGGCTGCTGTGAGTTATGATGGCACCACCACACTACAGCCTGGGCAACAGAGTGAGACCCTGTCCCTAAAAAAAAAATGTTCTAAAGCATAAATTTGCAAATATGCATCAATGTTAATCCAAGACCCACATATAAGTGTTAAAATGTTCTAGAATTATGCAGTATAAGATTTAATAAGATATGAATCTAAATGTAATAATGCAAATATTAATTTTTAGAACAAAAGTAAACAACTGATGGCATGACAACGTGCACAGCCCGTGCTCGCGCCTGCCAGCAGTAGAGCAGGCAAACCCAGGAACCACCAACTCAGGTCACCGAGTCCCTGAACACAGAGGACAGAGTCCTCCAACTCAGGAAGCTCCAGACCCTGAACAGCCCCAGATGCCACTCTCGGCCAGGACCCGCCGGCCAAGGCCGAGAAGCCAGCAGCTCTCCAGGCCGCCAGCCCCAGTCCTTGGCTGCGGCCCCCACGAGAGTCCCACGGGAGGCCCTGCCCGCACATGCGCACTTCACCAGCACGCTTCTGCGTCATAGGGCTCTGGGGCAGGTCCTGTGAAGCGCAGTGTCGTCCCCCTAAACTAATACTTGAGGACCATCTCCAAGCCTGGTCCACGGCAGGGACTCACTAAGCAACGGCTGAGGAAAAGGGTGTGGGGGCGCAAGGGGGGGCGGTGCTCTAAGAAGATGACCACAGAGGCAAACCCTGCAACATTCTCCTCTGGCTTCAGTCCCCTAGAGGGAAAAGGAGGTGGCCACTCTTTATAGCAGAAACTGAAAGATAATTTAGAAAATGTTGAATCTGAAAGGGCAATCGGCCGGTGAGCCCAAAAGGCAACCCGCGCAGCGTCCTTTTATCTGCAAAGCTAGGGTTGCAAGGAAGGGCCTCCTGGCGCCTGCGCAGTGCGTGCGGCTCCTGTGGCCCCTCAGCCCACACCAGTCCTGGGGCGCCTGCGCAGTGCGTGCGGCTCGCAGGGACCCTGAGCCAGTGCCGGTCCTGGGACGCCTGCGCAGTGCATGCGGTTTGCATAGACTGAGCCTGCGCCACTCCTGGAGCACCTGCGCAGTGCGTGCGGTTTGCATGGACTCTTGAGCCCGTGCCAGTACTGGGGCACCTGCGCAGTGCGAGGGGCTTGCATGGACTCTGACCCTGTGCCAGTCCTGGGACGCCTGCACAGTCGTGTCGTTCGCATAGACCCACAGCCCCCGCCAGTCCTGGGGTACCTACACAGTGCACCTCCCCTGCACCTGCAGAGCTGCAGAGCCGGCGCTCATCAAAGGCGTCTTTGTTGCCCTCCTATAGCTGAATCAAGTCCCGGACCACCTACTGAATGAACTATGCGTCCGTGACCAGCTTGAAGAGGAGGTAGAGATCCCCAGGAAAATTCCAACCACGCCAACGCCAGAGACTTGGTGTCCTTACTAGGCATCCCACCCCCACCGCAGCGGGCAGCTGAGATCGCCTCCCAGGACCTTACTAGTCTTAACTGGCCCAAGACCTCCTAAGGCCTCACGTGGGGCAGGGAGCTAGGGGCTGGGGGCGCGGGAGGGGCGGGGACCAGTGCGGCCTAGACTGAGTGATGAGATCAGGGCGCTGCCTCCCCAACTTCTGCTTCAGAAACATCCCAAGGGAGGTTATAATTTAAGTACCTGAGCGTGGCCCCATCCCAGAGGGCACTGTTTTCCCAATTCGACTTTCTGCTGCTTGTCATGAGTCTTTCCCACTTGAATCCTCAAATCAGAGGCTGTGATGAAGTAGCCTCTGATGATGGTGAAGGAGCAGCATTTGACCCTACTCAAGACCAGCGCGTTCCTTACAGCTTCTCACAGACTGTCACCACAAACCCAGTGACCAGGCCAAACATCTCTATTACCAATTACAAGGTGGGTGTACTCTGCTGGGATAATAATTATGTTATCCTTCTGAACCTGGCTAACAACAAGTGTTACAATCAAAGGGAAATGGGTTTAAGAAAGCTAACTGGGTTGAGGTTAGAGAGGCCATAAGGTTGTTGTAGGAGGCAGCACAAGAGTGAACACAGGTCCTGAGTCACAGAGCAAGACCCGGCCTCTAAAAACAAATTTTTTTATTTCAGAGGGAGGGGGTGGGAGGGAGACGATCCGGAAAATTAATTAATGAGTACTAGGCTTAATAACTGGGTGACGAAATAATCTCTACAACAAACTCCCATGACACAAGTTTACCTATATAACAAACCTGCACACGTATCCCTGAACTTAAAAGTTAAAAAAAAAAAAAAAAAAAAAATTGTCGGCCAGGTGTGGCGGCTCACGGCTGTAATCCCAGCACTTTGGGAGGCTGAGGCAGGTGGATCACCTGAGGTCAGGAGTTCAAGATCAGCCTGGCCAACATAGTGAAACCCCCTCTCTACTAAAAATACAAAAATTAGCCAGGCATGGTGGCGGGCGCCTGTAATCCCAGCTACTTGGGAGGCTAAGGCAGGAGAACCGCTTGAACCCAGGAGGCAGAGGTTGCAGTGAGCCGAGACAGCGCCATTGCACTCCGGCTTGGGCAACAGAGCGAAACTCTTGTCTCAAAAAAAAAAAAAATTGTCTAATAACAACAAAAGGAACTAACTCAACAACAAAAAACAACTGAATTTTAAAAGGGGGCAAAAGATTTGACTAGACATGTCTCCAAAGATAAACAGACGGCCATAAGCATCTGAAAAGATACTCAACATCACTAATTATTAGGGAAATGCAAATCAAAACTAAATGAGATACCACCTTCTGTCCATTATGATAATTAGTATTTAAAAAAAAAAAAAGCCGGGTGTGGTGGCTCAGGCCTGTAACACCAGCACTTTGGGAGACCGACCAAGGTGGGTGGATCACCTGAGGTCAGGAGTTCGAGACCGGCCTGGCCAACATGGCAAAACCCCGTCTCTACTAAAAATACAAAAATTAGCCCAGCATGGTGGCATGTACCTGTAATCCCAGCTACTTGGAAGGCTGAGACAGAAAAATTGCTTGAACCCAGGAGGCGGAGGTGAGCCAAGATTGAGCCACTGCACTCCAGCCTGGGTGACAGAGAGAGACTCCCTCTCAAAAATATAAAAATAAGCTGGGTGCGGTGGCTCAGGCCTGTAATCCCAGCACTTTGGGAGGCCAACGCAGGTGGATCACTGGAGGTCAGGAGTTCAAGCCCAGCCTGGCCAACATGGTGAAACCTCATCTCTACTAAAAATACAAAAATTAGCCAGGCATGGTGGCGGGCACCTGTAATCCCAGCTACTTGGGAAGCTGAGGCAGGAGAATCTCTTGAACCCGAGGGGCAGAGGTTGCACTGAGCCGAGATTGCACCATTGCACTCCAGCCTGGGTGACAAGAGCAAGACTCCATCTCAAAAAAATAAATAAAATAAAAATAATAAATAAATAAGAAAACAAAATACGTGTTGAAGGATGTGGAGCAACTGGAACCCTTCTGCATTGCTGGTGGGAATGTCGAATGGTGTGGCTGCTATGGAAAACAGCATGGTGGTTTCTCAAAAACATTCAACATAGAATTACCATAGATCCAGGAATTCCACTTCTGGGTATATGTCCAGAAAAACTGAAAGCAGAGACTCAAAGAGGTATCTGTAAACATTTTAGCATTATCTACAATAGTCAAAAGGTAGAAACAACCCAAGTGTCCATAGACAGATGGATGAATAAACAAAATGTGGCCTATACATATAATGGGATACTATTCAGCCTTAAAAGGGAAGGAAATCCCGACTCATGCTACAACATGGATGAACCTTAAGGATATTATGCTGAGTGAAAAGCAGCCAGTCACAAAAGGAAAAATACTGTCTGATTCCACTTATATGACATAGGTCCCAAGAGCAGTCAAATTCACAGAGACAGAAAGTACAATGGAGGTTGCCAGGGAGAGGCAGGAATGGAGAGTTGTTTAACGGGTGCGAGAGTTTCAGTCAGAGGAGATAAAAAGGTTGTGATATGGGGCCGGGCATGGTGGCACATGCCTGTAATACTAGCACTTTGGGAGGCCAAGGAGGGCAGATGACTTGAGGTCAGGAGTTTGAGACTAGCCTGGGCAACATAGTGAGACCCCATCTCTACTAAAAATACAAAAATTAGCCAGGCATGGTGGCAGGTGCCTGTAATCACAGCTACTTGGGAGGCTGAGGCAGGAGAATCGCTTGAACCTGGAAGGCAGAGGCTGCAGTGAGCCAAGATCAGGACACTGCACTCCAGCATAGGCAACAGATTGAGACTCTGTTCCAAAAAAGAAAAAAGAAAAAGTTATGGGAGCGGGGCCAGGTGCAGTGGTTCACACCTGTAATCCCAGCACTTTGGGAGGCAAAGGTGGGCGGATGGCTTGAGGTCTGGAGTTTGAGACCAGCCTAGCCAACATGGCAAAGCTCTGTCTCTACAAAAAATACAAAAAAATAGCTGGGCATGGTGGTGCATGCCTGTGGTCCCAGCTACTTGGGAGGCTGAGGTGGGAGGATCCCTTGAACCTGAGAGGCAGAGGTTGCAATGAGCTGAGATTGTGCCACTGCACAGAGCCAGACCCTGTCTTTAAAAAATAATAATAAAGTTCTGGGATAACGGTTGCACAAAAATGTGAATGTACTTAATGCCACTGAACTGTACACCTAAAAATGATAAAGATGATAAATTCATATTATGTAGATTTTACAATTAAGATGAAGAGGGCGGGCGCAGTGGCTCACGCCTGTAATCCCAGCACTTTGGGAGGCCGAGACGGGCGGATCACGAGGTCAGGAGATCGAGACCATCCTGGCTAATACGGTGAAACCCCGTCTCTACTAAAAATACAAAAAACTAGCCGGGCGAGGTGGCGGGCGCCTGTAGTCCCAGCTACTCGGGAGGCTGAGGCAGGAGAATGGCGTAAACCCGGGAGGCGGAGCTTGCAGTGAGCTGATATCCGGCCACTGCAGTCCAGCTCGGGCGACAGAGCAAGACTCCTTCTCAAAAAAAAAAAAAAAAGAAAAAGAAGATGAGCATGGGCCAGCTCATCAGGAGTCTTTTATGCAATGCTAAGGACCTGAGACATCATCTTAAAAAGACTGGATAGCATCAGGAAAGATTCTGAAGGAGACTCAGGGGTTAAAAGAGAATTCCCTGTATCTCCAGGACAATGCAGACAGTAGGACAACGGAGAGAGTAAGAATAGAGTTTTGCACAAAACAGGCACTCAATGAATACTGGTGGAATAAAATATACTCCATTATTACCAATTTATCTTAGGAGAGAAAAGCAAGAACTGTTCTCCAAGACAATGCTACAACGCATGCGCACAATCTTTGAGGTCTCCGTCTGTGCCCAACAGCTCCTCATTCCTGCTGTGGGCATACAGAGGGCGCTCATTCCCGGGGACAGTTCCCAAAGTACCCCCACCTCCCATGACCACACCCCACCACGCCCTGTTCAATTTGCCACCAAATCCCTATCCCTATCCCTGCTCCAACAGGCAATCAAATCTCCACCTCCAGTCACTAGGGGGATGACTTAGCGCCACTGCTAAATTCTCTGAGCCAGACTCCTCCGGGAGGTAAAGGAGGATGGGATAATACTCGCCTCTCCCAGCAGCCGTGACAGGGAGGTAATGTACTCACTACCTGGCAGAAAGAGTGCTCCCCAAGCTGGTTGCTCCCTTGGATATTGAAGGCATCACGCTGTACTGAGATTCTCTCTGCACCTGTCTCCCACCCTACCCATCCCAAGAATGTGGGCTCCTGGACGCTAGGATCCATCTCTCCGGGACCTGGAACAGCTGACTTCGCCCGCCAGGCCTCTGGGAAAACCCTGGGTGAGGGCTGCTCAAATGCCTCTAGGGACCAGGATTAACGGAAACGGGTGAGGCTGGCAGCGGGGCACCAGGAACTCCCAATGTGAGGTTCGCCGCCGCCACCCACAGCGAGAAGATTCCTGTCCCGTGAAAGCGTGGCCCAGGGTTGCCGGATGTTTCTCCCCCCACCCCCCTAGAACCCAGAAAGTCTGATTCTGGGGTAAAGCGTCGCACCTTTTAGACGCTACCAACTATCTCAAAAAAGCTTACAGACCAACCAAGACGCTACTACGGGCTGAATCTGGCCTTTAGTCGCCCAGTTGAGACCCCTGTACCTACGCCCAGACCCGCCAGGGGAGTGGGGCGGCATCCCCACCGGCCCTTGGGAGGCCAGGCAGCCACTTACGAAGGATGAGAAGGACGGGAGGAGGATCCTAAGAACATTGCACCCAAACACGAAGCTGAGCACCAGCAACCACGCCCAGTGGTCGGCCGCGGCTGAGCTCATCCCGGATACTCCTAGCTGTACTGGGTTCGCTACGGCAGCTCCATGGGGACCACGCCAGCAGAGGCGACTGCGCCTGCGCGGGTGAGCCCAGCGCGCCTGCGCACTGCGTCGCCCTCGCAGGAGGCGGGGCCGTTTTTACCACCCGCTCCAGTTGGAGCGGTTGACAGGTTCCAGGTTCCTCCTGGGCCTTCGGGGATTCCGTAGCCTTCTCGCACCCGCCCCCACCCTTACTCAACCAGTTTTCCTGGCGTCCGTGTTTCTTTTTCTCCTTCTTTTTAAAATTGAAAACCTTCTCATAGTACCAAATTCTGGTTGCAAGTGCTAACGACTCCCTGCTTTTGTCATAATTAGTACTTTCTTTAACTTTTAATTCTAGATATAAATTTAAGATAAACTCTTCCATAAATAAAAAACTACCGTAATGAAAGTAGCAGGTAGCTGTCGTGTTCCAAGCAGTTATGTGGAAAATGCCTTACGTTTTCGTTCCAGAACTAAACACTGTAGTAAGTCTAACCAATTTACACAATTGCATACCTGTAAAAATAAGTTTATTAGAATGCACTGTTCACAATCATTAGTAATAGTTAATAAAGTAACCTGAATCTAGGTGAGGATCAGGTTTTGCCGCAAAAGAATCCCAAATCAAATGTATGCATAGTGGGCAGAGCGCGGTGGCTCACGCCAGTAATCCCAGCATTTTGGGAGGCCGAGGCGGGCGGGTCACGAGGTCGAGAGATCGAAACCAGCTTGGCCAACATGGTGAAACCCCGTCTCTCTGGTACAAAAATTAGTTGGGCGTGGTGGCGCGCGCCTGTAGTCCCAGCTACTCAGAAGGCTGAGGCAGGAGAATCGCTTGAACCCGGCAGGCGGAGGTTGCAGTGAGCCAAGATCATGCCACTAGCACTCCAGCTCCGGCGACAGAGTGGGACTCCGTCTCAAAAAAAAAAAAAAAGTATACATAGTGGATAAAGCAAGACATGTTCAGCTGTCTCTTCTGCCATGCTGCCGTGGCTGGTTTCTGAGGACTAATTCCTAATCAAAATGATGCAAGATTGCGGGTACACTGGCTCATGCCTGTAATCCCAGCACTTTGGGAGATCCAAGCAAGGTGGATCACGGGCCCAGGAGTTTGAAACCAGTCTAGGTAACATAGTGCGACCCCATCTTTACAGTAAAATATAAATATTAGCCGGGCATTGTGGCACGTGCCTGTGGCCCCAGCTATTAGGGAGGCTGAGGCAGGAGAATGGCGTGAACCCGGGATGACTCAAGCCTGTAATCCCAGCACTTTGGGAGGCCGAGGCAGGTGGATCACCTAAGGTCAGGAGTTCGACACCAGCCTGACCAACAAGGCAAAACCCTGTCTCTACTAAAAATACAAAAATTAGCTGGATGTGGTGGCGGGCGCCTGTAGTCCCAGCTACTCAGGAGGCCGAGGCAGGAGAATCGCTTTAACCTGGGAGGCGGAGGTTGGCTGAGATCATGCCACTGCACTCCAGCCTGGGCGACAAGAGTGAAACTCTGTCTTTAAAAAAAAAAAAAAAAATTATGCAAGAGGCTGTGGTTCTACAAATTTCTTTTTCTTTTTTTTTTTTTGAGACGGAGTCTCACTCTGTCGCCCAGGCTGGAGTGCAGTGGCCGGATCTCAGTTCATTGCAAGCTCCGTCTCCTGGGTTTACGCCATTCTCCTGCCTCAGCCTCCTGAGTAGCCGGGACTACAGGCGACTGCCACCTCGCCCGGCTAGTTTTTTGTATTTTTTTTAGTAGAGACGGGGTTTCACCGTGTTAGCTAGGATGGTCTCTATCTCCTGACCTCGTGATCAGCCTGTCTCAGCCTCCCAAAGTGCTGGGATTACAGGCTTGAGCCACCGCGCCCGGCCAGTTCTACAAATTTCTGTTCAAGAAAACATGTGATCCAGCCTGGGCGACAGAGCAAGACTCCGTCTCAACAAAAAAAAAAAAAAAGAAAGAAAGAAAAAGAAAACAGGTGAAACAAAGCTATTCTGTAGGAGTAGAGTGAATCCTTTCCCTGAAAGGACTTCTTGGTTAGTAAGTGACTTCTGAACTGACCAAAACAAAGAGCAGGAGCCTGGCTCTCCTCCATGGCCTTCCCTTCCACCTGGATGGACCACGCAGCATGGCAGCCGGGCTCCTGGCTCCTCTGTCACTGGAGATTGAGATGGATTTAGGAGGAGAAACTGCCTCTTGAAAAGTGATGACAGGCCAAGCACAGTGGTTCACGCCTGTAATCCCAGCATTTTGGGAGGCCAAGGTGGGTAGATCACCTGAGGTCAAGAGTTCGAAACCAGCCTGACCAACACGGTGAAAGCCCACCTCTCCTAAAAATACAAAAATTAGTTGGGCGTGGTGGTGCATGGCGCATGCCTGTAATCCCAGCTACTCAAGAGGCTGAGGCAGGAGAATCGCTTGAACCCAGGAGGTGGAGGTTGCAGGGAGCCAAGGTGGCACCATTGCACTCCAGCCTGGTGACAGAGTGAGACTCCATCTCAAAAAAAGAAAAGAAGAAGACTAATAACTAAAAATAGGTGTTGTTCCACTGTGAGCTGCATAGAGAAGGTGTATGCAAACCTAGCCCCAAAGGCCAAAGGAGCTAAGAGGCTGAAGAAAGAAGCTGACAAAACTGAGTTTCTCAAAAATAAATATTTAATAGAGAAACAAACAGAAGTAGCTCATACCTCAGGCAGCCATAGTAGGTTTCTGAGCCTGCACTTCAGAATGCATTGTGTTGTTTTGTGTGTTTTGTTTTGTTTAGGGACTGAATCTCACTCTGTCACTGTGTCACCCAGACTGGAATGCAGTGGCATGATCATAGCTCACTGCAGCCTCCAACTCCTGGGCTCAAGTGATCCTCCTGCCTTAGCCTCCCAAGTAGCTGGGACTACAAGTGCAGGCCACCACGCCCAGCTAAGGGGGGGTGTGTGTGTGTGTGTGCATTAATCAATTTTTACACTGCTCTAAAGAACTACCTGAGACTGGGTAATTTATAACGGAAAGAGGTTTAATTGACTCACAGTTCCACATGGCTGGGGAGTCTCAGGAAACTTACAATCATGGCAGAAGGCCAAGGAGAAGCAAATATCTTCTTCACGAGGTGGCGAGGTGGGGGCAGGTACCACCACCATCACAAAAGATCTCACAAGATCTCTCTCAGATCTCATGAGAACTCCCTCGCTATCATGAGAACAGCATGGAGGACACCGCCCTCATGATCCAATCACCTCCCACCAGGTCCCTCCCTCAATAAGTGGGGATCACAATTCGAGATGATATTTGGATGGGCACACAGAGCCAAACCTTATCAATATGTGTGTGTAGATGGGGTCTCACTATGTTGCGCAGGCTGGTCTCGAACTCCTGAGCTCAAGCAGTCCTCCTGCCTCATCCCCACAAGTAGCAGGGATTACAGGTGCACCCTATCACACCTGGCTAATTTATTTTATTTTCACTTTTTGTAGAGTTGGATTCTCACTATGTCATCCAGGCCAGTCTCTAACTTCTGGCCTAAAGCAGTCCTCCCACCTCAGCCTCCCGAAGTGATGGGACTGACTGCAGGTATATGCCACCATGCCTGGCCAGAAGGTATTCTTTATATACAAGCTTTTAGGGCAAAATATGTGCCAACAATGAATGAAGAATTGGTGTCTGTTGGAATATTGCATTTTAGTATACCTGAATTGTTAAGCCTTTGTGTGTGTATATAGCTAATCTGAAGAAAAATAGAATGTAATAGGAACTATCTTGCTGTGCTTAGTTTTTGGTTGTTGCTGTTTGCTAGAGACAGGGTCTCAATTTGTCACTCAGGCTGTAGTGCAGTAGCATGATTGTAGTTCACTGCAGCCTCGAACTCCTAGATTCATGCAATCCTCCCACCTCAGCCTCCCAAGTGGCTAGGACTACAGGTGTGCAGCACCACACCTGGCTAATTTTAATGAGGTTTTTAAAAGTGTTTATAAAAGATAATATTTAAGGTGATGTATATCTAAAAAAACCAGCTTTAATCTTTAACACTATATGAATCTATCAAATGATCAAATGGATCCCCAAAATGTGTACATCTATTATGTATCAATAAAAAAGATTCCAGGCCAGGTGGGGTGGCTCAGGCCTGTAACCCAAGCACTCTGGGAGGCCAAGGCAGGAGGACTGCTTGAGGCCAGAAGCTGGAGATCACCCTGGGCAACACAGCAAGACCCCCATCTCTACAATATAAAAGAATAAAATAAAAAGAGTCCAAGAAATAAGTTAAATTATATATGTGGAAGGGTTCCCTGAAAGAACAAGAATTTACATCTTTAAATAAAGTAAAATGTTAAAAAATGGAAGTGTAGGCTGGGTGCGGTGGCTCATGCCTGTAATCCCAGCACTTTGGGAGGCCAAGGCTGGCGGATCACGAGGTCAGGAGTTCGAGACCAGACTGGCCAACATGGTGAAACCCCGTCTCTACTAAAAATACAAAAATTAGCCGGGCGTGGTGGTGGGCGCCTGTAATCCCAGCTGCTTGGGAGGCTGAGACAGAAGAATTGCTTGAAACCAGAAGGCAGAGGTTGAAGTGAGCCAAGATCGCGCCACTGCACTCCAGCCTGGTCAACAAGAGTGAAACTCTGTCTCAAGAAAAAAAAAAAAAAAAAAAGGAAGTTTAAAAACAAGCATTTCTGCAACATTTTAAAATACAAATATTAAATTATCCTAAATGGCAGCACTATTTATATTGCTAGATGGTGGTGTGCAACATTGAATTGTATGCTTTCAAATGACTAATTGTATCTTC